CAACGTCCTTTCTTGGTGCAGTTCAGTACAAAGAACCAAGTGGAAGGCGTACGTTTGGAAAAGGAAGTTATCCAACATGATCTACACAAAGTTAAACTAAACTGAAGTCTCTCTACTTTCTAAGCATATCAACATTTCTTTCGTCAAAATTAATCACACCCTGTGTTGTGGTCATTTGCTTTGTGCGTACATATATTCTGTAAATACAATAAAATAGGAGATTTTAAGATTGCGCGAGGGACTGCGGAATGATCTACGATCCGACTTGTAATAACCTGGGTATACGCTGTCTAAGCGCTCAAGATGCTAACGCCATGGTACAGCAAGTGGATATGGAATGCCGGTATGTTGATTTTTTAGCTATTGACTGTTTCTTTGAGTAATGCTGTCCTTTGATATTTGACTAAATATATAAACTCAAGATTTCGATATGGCTAAAGCAGAGTGAGGATGGAGAATGTATAATGACATTTCTGAATCTAATCCAATCTTTTAGGGCGACAGTATTCTGCCTTTTCACCGTCGAACACTACTACACCGTGCCAGGACAGATGGGACCGCGCTGTGATTATTTTTATCACTTTCTTCATATTACTTATTCCTATGATAACCTTTTGAACTGATTCTTTGTTTTAGTCAATGACGCGTACGCGGTGTGTAGAGGAAATATGCGGTGGACGCTCATTAATGGAACACCCATCATTGGAATCGGATGCCAATTTCAGTGAAGATGTCTGTTTCAACTGCGAAAGGCATCAACGTGGAGCTGTGTGCGTCAGCTTCACCAGGGGTTGCAGCCTGTTGTTTATATGTTAATCTACGATTGTACAGTCATATACTATGATTATAATCTTCATATCTCTCAACGATAAATACTAAAATTACAGCTGACTACATACGAAGGCAAATCTATTCATGACGTCACACCAGAATTGTTTTACAGCAAAGTTGAATGTGGACATGTGATAAAGAAATTCAGAAATAAGCTCTGAGTGAGTAATTTCATAGCTCCTCCAGGCACGTTTCAAGTATGCGCGATCCTTAGCATGCGTAACTATTCAGTGGAATTATTCTTCGTGGGCGGTCAGTAGTAGTTCTATCTTACAAGGGAAGCGTGTTCAGTCGAAGTGGCCTTT